TCTGAAACAATCTTTTGAAAGGCCAATTAGAAAAATAAACGATGCGCATGTTAAAATAAATAAATAGCCAGACTCATTGCCATCGGGTCAATTCTGACTCCCAGAGGGACCCTGTAAGACAGAGCAGAGCTGCCCCCGTGGGTTCTGCGACTGTGGATCGTTAGGGGGAGTAGAAAGCATCTCTCTCCCGCAGAGCAGCCAGTGGTTCTCAAACTGCTGACCTCGTGGTTAGCAGCCTAATGCATAACCGTCTGTAAAAGGTCAGCAGAACCAGGTTGAGTTCTTTGTGCTGTCTCATTACCCGTGTCAGCTGCCTAGATTGAATTCCCTTAGATATAAATGGGAATGGCAGTATTTGCCCTGCTGATGCCCGTGGTGCTTGTGATAGGGCGCACATGGAGAGTACACGTGAAGGTGCTGTAGATACTTGAATGCTTCTCTTTCCCATGAGGTAATGTGGGGCTTAATTTACTCAGCCATTTCTAACTTACTCATGCACTCACTCATTCAGCAAACGTTTATTACACATACACGTGTTTGGAAGTCCTGTTTAGATCCTGTGCTTGGCTCTAGTTCCTCTCATTGCATTATCCCACCCAAAATATCTAGGTTTTTTTTAGCATTCATTTTTAAATTCATACTTTCCTATTAATTTAGGAGTCCTGGTAATGCTGAAAGGGGAGCCCTGGTCATATAGTGATTACACGTTGGGCTATTAACCACAAAGTCAGCAGTTCAAAATCACCAGCTGCTAAGTGAGAGAAAGATGAGGCGCTTTATTCCCATAAAGAGTTACAGCCTCAGAAACTCCCAGAGGTAGTTCAACCCTGTCCTGCAAGGTCACGATGAATCGCATTTGACGCAGTGGCAGTGAGTTTTTTGGTGGTGCTGTTGGATAAACGTTGGACTGCTAACCTCAGGTTGGCAGTTCATACCCACCAGCTGCTTCTCAGCAGAGATGTACAGAAACTCCACATAGGATTGCTATGAGTTGGAATCAACAAGATAGCAGTGGGTTGGGTTGGGTGTTTCTGGTTCCTACTAATTGGGAAAAGATTAAGATCCTAGACAATGGATTGAGCGCAGCTACAACACTGAGCTCAAACGTCAGAACCATGGTGAGGGTGGCGCAGGGCCGGGCGGGGATTTTCCCATTGTGCACGGGGTCAGAACTGATGAACGGCCCCTAACAACCACCATCACCATTAATTGGAGTGGGGATAGGAGGCGATCTGAATGTACTGACCCCTTGTTCATGCTAGGGGCTTACTTTGCTTCTTTGGGGGCTATCTAGGGGTCTCATGGATGAAAAAGACCAGGAGGAAGACAGATGAGAAGCTGTTGGTTTAAAATTTATTTTGTGCTTCACAGGCTAGTTTACCATCTGTGGAAAACAAGCTTAAATTATGGGATTGCTGCCACCTGGTTTATAATTACTTTTAAAATACAACTCATTTCATTAGCCAAGATTTAACTAGCAAATGAAATTTTTTACATCAAAGTAGACAGGAAATGTTTTATAAGTACTTTCTATGTACATAGTATTGTATTCCATTAAATTTCAAGTATATATCATAAATATAAAATATATATTGTATTTTCTCTCCTTGTCATTAAAGAAACTCTATGTTTTCCTTATCTATTTAGAGTTACAATGCAGAGGGACTCCTCTGTGAAAAATCTTACGCAGTCAAGCAGGATAACAGGTTATTCCTACCTTCAAAGATATTGTTTTGCTTTGGTTCCAGGCCACTTTACAAACACGGGAACTACAGGCATTTCTGCATAATGACAATATGGCCAGCAGGTGGCATCATTATTCACAAGCAAGGTTCTTAAGTTTGGCCACAGAAGCAGCCTCGTTTGTCTTCGAGAGTCTTGGGCTGTGAGGTGACCTTCCTTTTGCAGTCACACTGTGATCCGCCTGTGCTTTCAGCGCTTTGTGTGATTGTTTAGCTTTGTTCTTTAAAATGAGGATGGATCAGTAATCCCTGTTCAGCCAAAAGATGCTTGAGGGAATCAGTGGGCATTGCCAATAATACTAACTCCTACTACATGGAGACTTAGCCATGTGACTTTAAAGAAAAAATATTTTAGAAACATATATCCTAAAATTAAAATGGCAGTGGCTGTTCCATCTAGCTCTTTGAAAATTAAAATATATTAGTAATCTTCGACTGACAGACGCTTCTCCATCTTAGGATTTCATATATGTTTGGGGAAAGAGAGGCAGGCAATAACTGACTCCCTCCCAAAAAACGCACTGCCATCGAGCCCATTCTGACTCATACTGACACTATCGGACAAGGCAGAACGCCCCGGTTGGCTTCCAAGACTGTAACTCTTTACTTGAGTAGAAAGCCTCATCTTTCTTCCATGGAGTGGCTAGGGGTTTTGAACCGCTGAACTCATGTTTTGCAGTTCAACATGTAATCCACCACACCACCAGGGCTCGTACAGCTGACTGGAGACCCAGAAGAAGAGCTGGGCCCACAGGTCACCCTGGAGCTTAGGAGAGGCTGTTGAACTTCCTCCCAGGCATATGTTTTATGTAGCATAGTGCCCCTGCCCCTATGGCCCAGTATTGGCAGGTGCCAAGCATCTCGTGCTTATTTCCACCTGGCTTAGAATCGTCCTCGTTCTGAATAGCTGTGTTATGAGTCTGCCTAAATACCTCGTCAAGTTTTAAAATTATACTCTACAATGACATTTCCCCCATTTCTGCGGACACTCCAACATGTGTGTTTACTTCTGCCAAGAAAGGACTTTATGATCATCACTTGTTAGTGTTTGTAACATTACATTCATTTCTCCTCTTATATTTTCCCTCCTTCAATCTTACCTCTTATTTCCAGAAGGAAGATGCATCTCTTTGACCAAGGGATCTCCCTAAGTCTTCACTAGAGAACTGTTTCCCTCCTGTCTTTGAGAAAACATCAGCTGCTACTGCCAGTAGAACTCTTTCTCAGTAGGGTGAGCTTGGTCCTTGGCAAGCCAGGTGAAAGGTTAAATGAAGGAGGACAGCGGTGGTTTTAGCTCCTACCCACACCAGGTGGTGGTGTTCGTCGCCATTAAGTCACTGGCATCGCATAGTGATCCCAGATGACAGAGTAGAACTACCCCCCACACTTTCTGGGAAGAACTCCCGTAAAGTTGATTCCAATGTAGAGCATCACCGTGATACAGAGATTCTGAGGCTATAAATCTTTTTTTTTAATTACTTTTATTCGGGTCTCTTACATCTCTTATCACAATCCATACATTCATCCACTGTGCCAAGCACATTCGTACGTGCGCAGCAAATGGGCTATAAATCTTTACGAGAGCAGACAGCCTCAACTTTCTCCCAGGAAGTGGCTAGTGGGTTTAAACAGCCAGTCTTGTGATTCGCAGTCCAGTGCTTCTCTGACGGGACCACCATGACTCCGTCCCATGAAGATTACTGGCTGCTATGAGATGAAATGGAACAAGCACAGGAACAAGCACAGTCACTTGTAGGGGAGCTCTTTCTCCTGCAGATCAGCAGCCTGACGCTTTGCTGTCCCACCATCAGAGCGCTTTGCCTAGGCTCGCAGGACAGCACATGAGTGCCCAGCTCTTGCTTGGGTGTATGTTATGCTTGCCCTTCTGATTTTGCATAACCAAGGATCTAGAACATCCTGATTTTGCTTTGCAAATTCACTTATCTGATGTTTGTTCCCATCTCAACTGTATGAGTCTAGCGCTTTTTGAGTATGTGGCTTGACTTGGCCCCCTTTTCCTCATCTCGCTAACTTCTCGGCTTATGTGTATCAATGTGTTTCTTTCTTTTTTTTTTTATCAATGTGTTTCATCAATTAACTTTTTATTCTTAGATCCAGGTCCTGGCCCAGCCCCCATCACCTTGAAAAACATATTTATAAACTGAGCATTTGAGAAGATTAATTTCTTTTCCTGGACCTTGAGTTTTACCCTGTTTGGTAACTATCTGTTACTCAGACCCAAAAGATCCATATCTGAACTGTTTCGTTTGTCTTAGAGTAGCTGAGAGAGATGGAGTCCCTTGAGACTGTCACCCCAAAAATGATCACCATGGAGTGGCTTCATTTCTTCGTAGAGTTCTGGAGGCAGGAGATCCCAAATCGTGTCAGCAGGGCTATCCTCTCTCTGGACGCCTGAGGGAGAACCTGCCCTCGCTTCATCCAGCTGCCGGAGGCTCCAGCTTCGCCTGCTCTCCGCTTGTGGCAGCAAGGGCCTTCCTTGTTTTGGCATCTCTCTCTCTAATTGGAGCCCTGACGGCACTGCCGAGTAAGCGTTGGACTGCAAGCCACAGACTTGGCAGTTCAAACACACCGAGTCGATTCCAACATATCAAAACCCTATGTGGGATTTCTGAGACTAAATCTTTCTGACAGCAACCTCATCTTTCTCTTGTGGAGCTGCCAGTAGGTTTGAACTGCTGACCTTGCAGTTAGCAGTCTAGTGCTTAGCCACAACGCCACCATGTCTCCTTAATAATTCTACTGAAATAAGTTCATTTCTTTTGAGCTGAGTACAAGGAAATCTGTTTGCTATTTTCACATCTTTTTTGGCCTTACGGTCTATTAAATGCACTGAATGCCAAGTGTCCAGGTTTTGCTAAGAGGAGCTGAGGAAGAGGGTGGAAATAAGGCCTTGCTTCCATTGTGTCTCCTCTGTTGGACTCTTAGTTTGCATTATTATGTCCTTGTAGAAATCCTGTTAAAACACAGCTATAAACTGATAAATGATGATTGCCTAAAAATTGATTCTGCAAAGGCTTTATTAATCTGGAAGAAAAGTTTAGTTGCATGTGAATTAGTTTATAATGGAGGGTACAGAGAGTCTCCCCCACCCTTTTTCCCCCCTAAATATACTTTTAAAACATAATATATTATCTGGTTACCTATGGGAGCCTGACTAATCAACTTACGGAGACTAAGAAATGTAATTCTCTAGTATTCAATCTCTGTGCCTTTTTCTTCTTTCTTTTTTTTGTTTAGGTACCAAAGGAAGAAATAAAGGCGAGTTTACAAATCTTCAGGGGGTAGCTGCCTCTGCAAGTGGAAAGATATTGATTGCAGATAGTAACAACCAATGTGTGCAGGTATGGCCCCTAATTGTCTACCTTTCCCCCGCAAATACGCAGAGTTTCCTACTTGGAACCAAAGACATATGATCCAAGAAATGCAAGAGGAGCTTGTAATGTATGAGGGGCTTCCCAGAGATCCATAAAAATAATGGTTATCTTTCTACTCCCATTTTCTGTGAACATTGTGGTCTCTATCGGCTTTTCTTCAAATAGGGTTTGGTTTGTATATTCTGACCTATAGTACCTATGACAGATGTTCTTGTTTTTATCTGTCTCAGCGTTTTCTGTGCTCGGTCCTGTCTGTTGTTGTTCGGTATTGATGAGCGGGCTTCCGTTCCTACTAACCCAGGAACAGCAGAATGAAGCCCTGCCCTGGCCCACGCCGTCCTCTCGGTCGCGGCCATGCCTGAGGTTATATGCAGAGCCCACCACTACAGCCACCGAGTCAGTCCAACTCCTGGAACATGAGCCTCTTTTTCCACTGACTCTACCTTTTTTGTTCTTTATCATTTTATTGGGGCCTCTTACAACTCTGATCACAATCCATACATGTATCCATTGTGTCAAGCTCATTTGTATATATGTTGCCATCATCATTTTCATAACATTCTTTCTACTTGAGCCCTTAGTATCATCTCCTCTTTTTTCCCTCCCTCCCCCAACTCCCTCCCTCACAAACCCTTGATAATTTATAATTTTTTTTTTCATGTCTTACACCAACCATTGTCTCCATTGTCTCCCTGCACCCACTTTTCTGTTGTCTGTCCCCCTGGGAGGGGGTTATATGTCAAGCATTGTGATCGGTTCCCGCTTACTCCCCCCGACCTTCCCCTTACCCTAGGTATCGCTACTCTCATTGGTCCTGAGGAGTTTATCTGTCCTGGATTCCCTGTGTTTCCACCTCTTATCTGTACCCTTGTACATGCGCTAGTCTGGCCAGATTTGTAAGGTAGAATTGGGGTCATGATAGTGCGGGGAGGGGAGCATTAAAGAACTAGAGGAAAGTTGTATGTTTTGTTGCTGCTATA